ATGTAGATGTCTTGTGTAGATGTATTGTGTAGATGTAAATGTATTGTGTAGATGTAGATGTATTGTGTAGATGTAGATGTATTGTGTAGATGTAAATGTATTGTGTATATGTAGATGTGTTGTGTAGATGTATTGTGTAGATATGTTGTGTAGATGTAAATGTATTGTGTAGATGTAGATGTGTTGTGTATATGTAGATGTGTTGTGTAGATGTAGATGTGTTGTGTAGATGTAGATGTATTGTGTAGATGTAGATGTGTTGTGTAGATGTAGATGTTTTGTGTAGATGTAGATGTGTTGTGTAGATGTAGATGTGTTGTGTAGATGTAGATGTGTTGTGTAGATGTAGATGTATTGTGTAGATGTAGTGTGTAAATGTATTGTGTAGATGTATTGTGTAGATGTAAATGTATTGTGTAGATGTAGATGTGTTGTGTAGATGTATTGTGTAGATATGTTGTGTAGATGTAAATGTATTGTGTAGATGTGTTGTGTAGATGTAGATGTGCTGTGTAGATGTGTTGTGTAGATGTAGATGTTTTGTGTAGATGTAGATGTGTTGTGTAGATGTATTGTGTAGATGTAAATGTATTGTGTAGATGTAGATGTGTTGTGTAGATGTAGATGTGTTGTGTAGATGTAGATGTGTTGTGTAGATGTAGATGTTTTGTGTAGATGTAGATGTTTTGTGTAGATGTAGATGTGTTGTGTAGATGTAGATGTGTTGTGTAGATGTAGATGGTTTGTGTAGATGTATTGTGTAGATGTAGATGTTGTTGTGTAGATGTAGATGTGTTGTGTAGATGTAGATGTTTGTGTGATGTAGATGTAGATGTATTGTGTAGATGTAGATGTGTTGTGTGTAGATGTGTATTGTGTAGTAGATGTTGTGTAGATGTAGATGTGTTGTGTAGATGTATTGTGTAGATGTAGATGTGTTGTGTAGATGTAGATGTGTTGTGTAGATGTAGATGTATTGTGTAGATGTAGATGTCTTGTGTAGATGTAGATGTGTTGTGTAGATGTAGATGTGATGTGTAGATGTATTGTGTAGATGTAAATGTATTGTGTAGATGTAGATGTGTTGTGTAGATGTAGATGTATTGTGTAGATGTAAATGTATTGTGTAGATGTAGATGTGTTGTGTAGATGTAGATGTGTTGTGTAGATGTAGATGTGTTGTGTAGATGTAGATGTATTATGTAGATGTAAATGTATTGTGTAGATGTAGATGTGCTGTGTAGATGTAGATGTGGTGTGTAGATGTTTTGTGTAGATGTAGATGTATTGTGTAGATGTAGATGTCTTGTGTAGATGTAGATGTGTTGTGTAGATGTAGATGTGTTGTGTAGATGTAGATGTCTTTTGTAAATGTAGATGTGTTGTGTAGATGTAGATGTTTTGTGTAGATGTAGATGTTTTGTGTAGATGTAGATGTGTTGTGTAGATGTCTTGTGTAGATGTATTGTGTAGATGTAAATGTATTGTGTAGATGTAGATGTATTGTGTAGATGTAGATGTGGTGTGTAGATGTAGATGTCTTGTGTAGATGTAGATGTCTTGTGTAGATGTAGATGTGTTGTGTAGATGTAGATGTGTTGTGTAGATGTAGATGTTTTGTGTAGATGTAGATGTGTTGTGTAGATGTATTGTGTAGATGTAAATGTATTGTGTAGATGTAGATGTGTTGTGTAGATGTAGATGTGTTGTGTAGATGTAGATGTGTTGTGTAGATGTAGATGTTTTGTGTAGATGTATTGTGTAGATGTAGATGTACTGTGTAGATGTAGATGTATTGTGTAGATGTAGATGTGTTGTGTAGATGTAGATGTCTTGTGTAGATGTAGATGTTTTGTGTAGATGTAGATGTGTTGTGTAGATGTAGATGTCTTGTGTAGATGTAGATGTCTTGTGTAGATGTATTGTGTAGATGTAAATGTATTGTGTAGATGTAGATGTATTGTGTAGATGTAGATGTGTTGTGTAGATGTAGATGTGTTGTGTAGATGTAGATGTCTTGTGTAGATGTAGATGTGTTGTGTAGATGTAGATGTCTTGTGTAGATGTATTGTGTAGATGTAAATGTATTGTGTAGATGTAGATGTAGAGGTGTTGTGTAGATGTAGATGTGTTGTGTAGATGTAGATGTCTTGTGTAGATGTAGATGTGTTGTGTAGATGTAGATGTGTTGTGTAGATGTAGATGTTTTGTGTAGATGTAGATGTGTTGTGTAGATGTATTGTGTAGATGTAAATGTATTGTGTAGATGTAGATGTGTTGTGTAGATGTAGATGTTGTTAGATGTAGATGTGTTGTGTAGATGATGTAGATGTTGTGTGTGTGTAGATGTAGATTGTGTGTAGATGTAGATGTGATTGTGTGTGTAGATGTGTAGATGTGTTGTGTAGATGTAGATGTATTGATGTAGATGTAGATGTGTTGTGTTGTAGATGTGTTTGTGTAGATGTAGATGTATTGTGTAGATGTAGATGTCTTGTGTAGATGTAGATGTGTTGTGTAGATGTAGATGTGTGTTGTGTAGATGTAGATGTGTTTGTAGATGTAGATGTATTGTGTAGATGTAGATGTAGATGATGTTGTGTAGATGTAGATGTGTTGTGTAGATGTAGATGTATTGTGTAGATGTAAGATGTATTGTGTAGATGTAGATGTGTTGTGTAGATGTAGATGTTTTGTGTAGATGTAGATGTAGATGTAGATTGTGTAGATGTAGATGTGTTGTGTAGATGTAGATGTATTGTGTAGATGTAAATGTATTGTGTAGATGTAGATGTGTTGTGTAGATGTAGATGTGGTGTGTAGATGTAGATGTGTTGTGTAGATGTAGATGTATTGTGTAGATGTAAATGTATTGTGTAGATGTAGATGTGTTGTGTAGATGTAGATGTGTGTGTGTAGATGTAGATGTTTGTGTGTGTAGATTTGTGTAGATGTATGTATTGTGTAGATGTAGATGTCTTGTGTAGATGTAGATGTGTTGTGTAGATGTAGATGTTTTGTGTAAATGTAGATGTGTTGTGTAGATGTAGATGTAGATGTTTGTGTAGATGTTTGTGTGTAGATGTGTTGTGTAGATGTAGATGTGTGTGTAGATGTTGTGTAGTTGTGTAGATGTAGATGTGTAGATGTAGATGTGTTGTGTAGATGTAGATGTGTTGTGTAGATGTAGATGTAGATTGTTGTGTAGATGTAGATGTAGATGTAGATGTAGATGTAGATGTGTAGATGTATTGTGTAGATGTATGTTGTGTAGATGTAGATGTGTTGTGTAGATGTAGATGTGTGTATGTATTGTGTAGATGTAGATGTGTTGTGTAGATGTAGATGTGTTGTGTAGATGTAGATGTTTGTGTAGATGTAGATGTCTTGTGTAGATGTAGATGTAGATGTTGTGTAGATGTATTGTGTAGATGTAGATGTGTGTTGTGTAGATGTAGATTGTGTAGATGTAGATGTTGTGTAGATGTAGATGTGTTTGTGTAGATGTAGATGTTTGATGTAGATGTAGATGTTTGTGTAGATGTAGATGTGTTGTTGTGTAGATGTGTTGTGTAGATGTAGATGTCTTGTGTAGATGTAGATGTGTTGTGTAAATGTAGATGTGTTGTGTAGATGTAGATGTTTTGTGTAGATGTAGATATGTTGTGTAGATGTATTGTGTAGATGTAGATGTATTGTGTAGATGTATTGTGTAGATGTAGATGTATTGTGTAGATGTAGATGTCTTGTGTAGATGTAGATGTGTTGTGTAGATGTGTTGTGTATGTAGATGTAGATGTGTTGTGTAGATGTAGATGTAGATGATTGTGTAGATGTATGTTTTGTGTAGATGTAGATGTTGTTGTGTAGATGTAGATGTTTTTGTATGATGTGTAGATGTGTGTGTAGATGTAGATGTGTGTGTGTAGATGTAGATGTGTTGTGTAGATGTAGATGTGTTGTGTAGATGTAGATGTATTGTGTAGATGTAGATGTATTGTGTAGATGTAGATGTTTTGTGTAGATGTAGATGTGTTGTGTAGATGTAGATGTTTTGTGTAGATGTAGATATGTTGTGTAGATGTATTGTGTAGATGTAGATGTATTGTGTAGATGTAGATGTCTTGTGTAGATGTAGATGTGTTGTGTAGATGTAGATGTATTGTGTAGATGTAAATGTATTGTGTAGATGTAGATGTGTTGTGTAGATGTAGATGTGTTGTGTAGATGTAGATG